ACAGGTGGTGGCCGCCTTCAAGATCCTCACCAGCGACCCGCAGGCGAGGCGCGCCGCTCCCCCCGCGCCAAGCGTGTTTCCTCTCTAAAACTTTGATTCGTTGCTGCGCGGCATGCCGCCTCTGCTCGGTTGGCCGCAGCGCAGGCATGTCGCATCCCGGCCGGTGCCTGCGCGGGCGTGCTTTGCCGTGTCGTCTCGGCTCCCACAGCCCCATCCGACCGGCTCTGATGGTTTCGCCCCCCTGCAGGTCAAGGCCATCCTGGTCAACATCTTTGGCGGCATCATGCGCTGCGACGTCATCGCCTCGGGCATCGTCAACGCCGCCAAGCAGGTGCGTGGCACGCGGGGAGGCGGCGCTGCGCCGTGTGGTGCTGCGCGGAGCTGTGTGGCGGCGGTGGTGTGTGTGCGTCTGCCTGTGTGTGTGTGTGTGTGGTGGTGGGCGGGTGGGGGGGGGTAGGGGCGTGTTGCGGCCCAGGGCCAAGGCCTGCTGGCTGAGGTGCACACTAATGGGGGCAGCGTTGGGCGGGGCTGGGTGCCCTAACCGCTGCCGCCCGCTTGCCTCCCGTTCCCCCTCCAACACGCATCCGCTGCCCGTACCGCCCGTACCGTGCAGGTGGGCGTCCAGGTGCCGCTCATCGTGCGGCTGGAGGGCACCAACGTGGAGCGGGGCAAGGAGATCCTGGCGGGCAGCGGCATGAACCTCATCTCGGGGTCAGATCTGGACGATGCAGCCGCCAAGGCCGTGGCCTCCATCGCGTGAGCCAGCTAGCAAAGCTGCTGCGGGCTGGAGGCGTGAGCTGCGGGCTCGTGGCGTGAAGCGCAGATCAGCGCTGCCCTGCCGCGACAGGAGCTGTGGGACGCAGCCCCCGCCGCTCCCTCCGGGCGCCGCCGCCGCTAGCCGCCTCGTGCAGGTGGCCCCCCTCCCTGTGACGTTGCACCTCACTGTTCCCCCCGTGGGCCTGCCCAGCACTGTGTACAGTAGCCTCCCTTGCACCGCTTCCCCCGTTGCTGTCGCCATGCATGGCTCGAAGCCTTGAGATACATACCCACCTCTGCACCTCTTTTGCTGCAAGAAAGCACTTCTGAGCGGCAGCGCAAGAGCAGTCGGTTTACAGCAGCAGCAACGAGGAACAGCAGGAAACAAGGAGGAGCAAAGCTGAAAGTGGGAGGCAAAAGGAGAAAAAACAGGCCATGGCGTAGTGATCACGCAAGCAGCCAAGCATTGATCTCGGCTTGGTGAGAGCACCAGCGCCGCGGGTCAGCTGCCCTGGCTCAGCCGATGTAGTTCCAGGAGGCGATGAACAGCGTGCACATTGCCAGCGCGTAGCCGCCAAACTCCTGCGCCGCGGTCGCGCCGCCGCTCTCGCTGACCTTCATGCGCAGGCTGAGCGTGAGCACAAACGAGCCCACGCAGCAGAAGAAGCCGGCCAGGAAGGCGTTGAAGGGGAAGGTGCCCACCGCCTTGGCATACACAAACTGCAGCAGGGGGGCCAGGGAGGGGCAGCAGGCAACACGGAAGGCTGTTGAGCGGTGGCGGGATAGGGTGGGCGGGGCAGGGTGGGCGGCGGCGGAGCGGGGCGGGCCGCTACGATCGCGCGGCATCACACGGCCTGCATCGGTTTGCGTGCCGCACGGGCCTGATCGCGCTCACTTGCAGCAGGGCGGTCGCCAGTGCGCAGCAGCTGAAGGCGTCCAACAGCTTCAGTTTCGTGGGCGTCTTGATGTAGGCAGCCGTAAACGAGGTGTAGATATCCTTCAAGGTGTCCAAGTGTTGCGAGCTCATCTCGACTGGAGTGCTGGCGGGGCTAGGGCGGGTGCTGGAAGGCAAACAATGCTAGGGAAGCAAGATTGAATGCGAGTAGTGCGGGGCAGCGGCGATCCGAGCGCCCTAGTATCAGAGCTGGCGGGATGGAAAGCGGCGGAGCAGGGCGCGCCGCCCGTCCTCGTCGCTGGTGTGCCTCCGTCATTCAACGCACGATTCTCACCCTCCTCCGCGGTCCCGTAACCCAAGTACACGTGGTCTTGCGGCATCCCGGCAGCACAGTTTGGCACAGGACCCAACCGTGCACCTCCCGCTGCCTTGGCCTTGCCCCTGTGAGCCATCTAGACTTTACATGGCCTGAACGAAGACGCACATGCAGGTCTGCAATGGGCTTACAAAGACCTCACTTCTTGAAGAACTGGGTGATGTCCTTCTGGCCCGGCAGCTTGGCCTTCTTTGCTGACCCGCCCTTGCCGCCGCCGCTCGCCTTGCCGCCGCCGCTCCCCGGCTGCCTGCGCTTCTGCGGAGTGCCCTGCTGCTGCCCTTGCTGCGGCTGCGGCGGCACGGGGCTGGCAGGTGCGGCGTCGGTCGCCTGCTCGCCCACCGCTGCCGCGGTTCCAGCTGCCTGGTGTTCCCTCGGCTGCTCGTCTGCATTCACCGCCGCAGCGGCAGCGCCGCCCTGCTGCTGCTGCTCCGGCCCTGCACCTCCCTCCGCATCCTGCTGCAGTCGCTGCTCGCCCTCTTGCTCCTGCTTCACCATGGCCGCAGATGCAGAGGCTGGCTCTGCCGCCACTACTTCCGTCGCTGCTCCTGCTGCCCCCTCCTCCTCCTTCAGCCCAGGCTCCGCCTTCACCTCTGCCGCCCCCTGCTCCTTGCTGGTCCCTGCATCCTGCTGCGCCGCTGCCTTGGCCCCGGCCGCAGAGGAGCGTGGCTTGAAGAAGGAGGCAGGCGAGGGCTTCTTGACCTCCTCGCAGCACTGTGGGCCCTGCACGCCAGCGCCGAGGGCAGAGCGGGGCAACAGAAGCTCAGCCCATGCCCGCTGATAGCACCACGGC